TGAGCTTAAAGGGATGCTGGCCTAGTTAGTTACCTCCCCGCTCCTCCTCGGGCTCTGGGCTCAGGCAGCTAGCTCCAGAGAGCTGGAATTGACGCTGGATGCTGAGCGACTGGTAGCCAGCTGCGGGCAGCTGGGCCTGTGATCCTACAAAAAGGACTGTGAATGAATGAATGAATGAATGAATGAATGAATGAATGAATACGAATTCATGAATAAGTGCCTTTCCTTCTGCAAATGTTGGCGTGGATCCAGCTCGAGCAAGCAAAGGGGGCGCTGAGGTTGGCTGTCCAATAGACTGTCCTGGATTCGAATCCTAACACTTCTACCCAGCATGGGGCAAACTACTGAGCTTTCCCGGCCTTTTTTACCCTATAAAATGAGGCTACCAGCCAGGCCACTTCCCTCGGGAGAGAGGTGAGGATAGAGTTCTCGCCCGGGTAGCAGTGCCCTGCCTTGTACATAATAAGCACTCCGGCGCATTTCTCATTCCTAACTGCCAGGCCACATCCATCACACGCTGCCGCTGGCTCCACTGAGGTGCCCGACCAGGCGCTGGCGCTGAGGCTCACAGGTGGACTCGACGGGAGTCTACCCTGCATGAGCGCCCCGCTCGTGGGGTCCCCATGACTATGGACGTCGGGTTGGAGCGACGCACGAACGCGAGACAGATCTGCTGTGCTCTTCTGTCCACAGTCCGCGTAGAGCCGGCCTGGGGCCTGAGCTCGTAGGCCCACGGCCGGCGGGCGCCATCGTAGCCAGTCCAGAGTGAGACCAAGAGAGGGAGGCCCGACGAGGCGCCGAGTTCTGGCATCTTGGAGGCATTGTGCTTAATAAATCCGGGCGAAACGCATACCCACTCTCCCCCTTTCCTCGGCTCCCAAATCGAGACCTGCTGTGGGATCCCCAGTTTATGGGGTCTTAAAACCCCCTCCGCTTGGATTAGAGGCTTCAAAGAGATAGCTTTAAAGTTCTCCCCCTCCTCGCCCCACCCCTTTTATAGGCCACCCCTCCCCCAGCACCCCTTCTAGACTTCTGGACAACAAAACACTTAATGCAAGTTTAAGCGGGGGAGGGGGGAGCGATTTTCAGGCTTCTTCCTTGCAAGCGGAGCCCTAGAAATTACCTGTTTCAGGCGTGTGCAGGAGTCGGGGAACCGTGGAGTTTGAGTGTTTTTCTGTTCTCTCTCTCTCTCTCTCTCTTTTTTTTGGTTTGTGTGTGTGTTTTTTTTACCTTTTATTATTTAAATTGATACGTTTCATTACTAGGGAGAAAAATAAAATATTCCTTTGATACACAAAATCAAATTGATATTTAGCCTCTGCTTACTTTTTTATGCATGGCTCCTTTATACCACATGGTAGTGACAGATTGTTTGAGCTGGAAGGAAAAGCCATTCAAAGCTAATTAAGCAGCCATTCCAAGCACTATTTGCAAGCGGGAGGCTCAGAAGCCTCCGCATTTGTCAGCGCTCCCCTACCCCGCGTGGTTTTGACTGACAGCCTTGGCGCGGACTGACAGCTCCCGGAAGCTTCACCAATCAGTAACGGAGACTTCCCTTAGCGGCCTCTGATTGGTTTTTCCTGCCTTGCTTGAGGGCGGGGCTGGCGGCCCCCACGTGGGCTCAGGAGCGAGAAAGGGGCGGGGCGGGTAAGAAGCGGGTGCGCCCACCCGTGACGTAAGGGGGAGGGCAGAGGAGGGGGAGGGGAAAAGAAAGCTCCAAAGAGGAGCCATTTTGTGTCTAATGAATGCTGCGGCCAGATTCTCGCATCTGTCGAGCGGGGCTTCTCCCCTCCCCTCCCCTTCCGTGCGCGCCGTACACGACTTATGTTTTTATTTAGGAAAATAAATAAATGAAGAGAGGAGCCGCGGTTAGGGGTGGGCGGCCGAAGCTCCGGGCGCGGGGAAATTGAGCTCCGAGGCGGGCGCTCACGTGTAACTCCCTGCGCACCAGCCTCGTAGCGCCGGCTAGCTAGCAGCCCCTCATTAAGATGCACAAGCAAACTTGGCTCCTAATGAGGGGAAAATATAGATCCGGGGGCGCGCGGCCGGCTCTCGCGCGCCGGCCACTGGCCCTGGGTGCGTGCGAGTTGGCCCAGCTGCTAGAGCGGGACCTGGGGGCCACCTGGGTCCGCCCACGCGAAGTCTGAGGTTGAGGCGGCCGAAGCTGCTCGGGAGCCCCTTCCCCGTGGCCTGTGCGCCCTGACGTAACCCCGAGCGCAGGAGAGCTAGGCCGTGGGTTTGTGGGCAAATTGGCCCGGGATTTGAGTGGTCTGTGCAACCGCGCGGGGAGTCCTCGAGTAGCGTGCGGGGGCGGGTGAGCGTCTGCGTCTCCCGGGGCGTGGAAGCTGGCGGCTGAGACACCCGCAGGGTTGCACGCGCGCCCCTCCGCAGGCCCTCCGCGACGCAGTGTCGCTGGCGGGACAGGCTGAGTAAACCCGGTCGGAACCCGGAGCTCCCGGGCCCGGGCAAGGCCGCCACCTCATTCTCTACTCTGCTCCCCTGGCCTCGGCGTGCGGTGAGGAACTGCGGCCAGGGCGTCACTGTTCCCACCGGGAAAGAACCCCGAGTGGAGACAGCGCGAACTGAGCTAGTTATCCGCGGGCAGTCGGGCCCTGCCTTCTGCGCTGCCCGCCAAGCGAGAGTTCACCAGACTTCTCTTCGCAGGCATCCGCTGCACATCAAAGAAGTGTTTATTTGGTTTTCCGAAAAGACGGACGAGTGAACAAAGAATAGCTGGGGGCCACGGAGGGGTGGGGGTGGGGGCGCAAGAGGAGTAAAGAAAAGGGACACCCTCAGTTCCTAGCTAAGTTGGAAGGCAACTTTGGGAGCCACCATTTTCTTCGTCCTAAATCTTGTGAAGTGAAAACATTAAAGTGACAAAGTGATTTTGTTTGTTTTATAGTATCTAATTGGGCTGCTCTGCAGACCTAATGAGATTAAAGGGAGGAATCGTTTGCCGCCACTGCAGAATAAACTGATACATTACACCAGCCACAGGTTTTGAGGACTGTACAGCTTGTCTTTTTTCTTTTTGTTGTTATTCCTGTCTTCTCTTTCCTCCTCCCGCCAAATAATTATTTGCTAGTAGATCGTGGGAGAAAAAAAGAGGTGAAAAAACTCTAGCAGTCCAGGGCTATAATATATATCTATTTATTATATGTCTTTCGGTTAATTCCTGATCTGAGGAGCGCTGTTTTTCACTCCCAAGCTAAAGTCACCAGCGGGTAGGGCCTGATTGCTACTTTTCATGCATAGTTTTAGACACAAGAGGGCATTGTGACGTCGCGCCCGCCGGCGTCCAGTCGCAGGCCGAGTCAGGTGGCCCCACGTGGGGGCCCTGCGCTCCCATTGGCCAGCGCGGGGCGAAGCTGCCACATTATTTTGTTACTTTTCAGTCCCTATTTGGAACTGCTCTCGCGGCAGTTCAGACCTCGTGCTGGTCGCCCCTCGCCTGTCTGTGTGTGGTATCCGCAGGTCCGGGGCACTTTTTGGTGTGTGTGTGTATTTGTACGTTGGGTGTGTGTTTAGGAGGTTTGTCTTGGTGCCGAGCGGTGAGCCGAGCCGAGGGGAAGGAAGGAAGCCGCAGAGCTCCTGGGTCTCCGGCTGCGTCTCTCCTCCTGCGTTCTCCTGCCTGCGCGCTCCGAGGCGGTTGTTGCGGCGCGGAGCGCTCGTCTCTGGAGACGCGGCGCTTGAGCTGGGAACAGCGAGGACCCTTTTGCGGAGGCTTCCTGTGTCGCTGGAGTTAGGATGCCAGATCGGCTGCTGATTTGCACCCACTGAGCCGGAGTTTCCTTCTCGGCCCTGGGAAGGGCTGGCGGCGGCGGTAGCAGCTGTAGCAGACGGAACAGCAGCTCTCCTCTCGGGGGGGGGGGGGGG